ATCAATAGATAGAGAGAATGAGAGAGATAAATAGAAAGATATATAGAAAGAGATAGATGGAGAGGTAGAGAAATAGATAGATAGATAGATAGATAGATAGATAGATGATAGATAGAGAAAGAGATAGATCAATCAATAGAGAGAGAGAATGAGAGATAAATACAGAGAGAGATAAATGGAGATGACATAGAGAGAGCAAGAGAGATAAATAGAGAGAAAGTGATAAATGGAGAGAAAGAGATAGATAGATATAGAATAAATAGAGAGATAAATAGATGGATAGATAGATAGATAAAGAAAGGAAAGAAAGAAAGAAAGAAAGGGATGGGATGGGGCCCTTTTGGGATTATACAAATAGAGAGAGATAGAAAGAGATAGAGAAATAGAGAAGTAGATAGATAGATAGAGTGATAGAGAGAATGAGAGAGATAAATAGAAAGATATAGAAAGAGATAGATGGAGAGGTAGAGAAATAGATAGATAGATAGATAGATAGAGAAAGAGATAGATCAATCAATAGATAGAGAGAATGAGAGAGAGAAATACAGAGAGATAAATGGAGATAGGTTGAGAGAGAGGGAGGAGAGAGAAAAAGATAGAAAGAGAGAGATAGATATAAATAGAGAAATAGAGAAGTAGATAGATAGATAAAGTGATAGATAGATAGAGTGATAGAGAGAATGAGAGAGATAAATAGAAAGATATAGAAAGAGATAGATGGAGAGGTAGAGAAATAGATAGATAGATAGATAGATAGAGAAAGAGATAGATCAATCAATAGATAGAGAGAATGAGAGAGAGAAATACAGAGAGATAAATGGAGATAGGTTGAGAGAGAGGGAGGAGAGAGAAAAAGATAGAAAGAGATAGAGATAGATATAAATAGAGAAATAGAGAAGTAGATAGATAGATAAAGTGATAGATAGATAGAGTGATAGAGAGAATGAGAGAGATAAATAGAAAGATATAGAAAGAGATAGATGGAGAGGTAGAGAAATAGATAGATAGATAGATAGATAGATAGATAGATAGATAGATAGAGAAAGAGATAGATCAATCAATAGATAGAGAGAATGAGAGAGAGAAATACAGAGAGATAAATGGAGATAGGTTGAGAGAGAGGGAGGAGAGAGAAAAAGATAGAAAGAGATAGAGATAGATATAAATAGAGAAATAGAGAAGTAGATAGATAGATAAAGTGATAGATAGATAGAGTGATAGAGAGAATGAGAGAGATAAATAGAAAGATATAGAAAGAGATAGATGGAGAGGTAGAGAAATAGATAGATAGATAGATAGATAGATAGATAGAGAAAGAGATAGATCAATCAATAGATAGAGAGAATGAGAGAGAGAAATACAGAGAGATAAATGGAGATAGGTTGAGAGAGAGGGAGGAGAGAGAAAAAGATAGAAAGAGATAGAGATAGATATAAATAGAGAAATAGAGAAGTAGATAGATAGATAAAGTGATAGATAGATAGAGTGATAGAGAGAATGAGAGAGATAAATAGAAAGATATAGAAAGAGATAGATGGAGAGGTAGAGAAATAGATAGATAGAGAGGGAGGAGAGAGAAAAAGATAGAAAGAGAGAGATAGATATAAATAGAGAAATAGAGAAGTAGATAGAGAAAGAGAGAGATAAATAGAAAGATATAGAAAAAGATAAATGGAGATAAGTTGAGATAGAGATAGAGAAGTAGATAGATAGATAGATAGATAGATAGATAGATAGATAGATCAATCGATAGAGAGAATGAGAGAGATAAATGGAGATAGGTTGAGATAGATAGATAGAGATAAATGGAAAGATAGATAGATAAAAAGATAGAGAGCTAGAGAGATAAATAGAGATCGATCGACATAGGTTCAGATATAGAAATAGATAGAGAGAGAGAGAGATAGAAAAAGATAGATAAATAAAAAGATAGATAGATAGATAGAAATAAAGATAGAGAGATAAATAGGAACAGATAAATGGAGATAGGTTGAGAGAGAGAGAGAGAGATAGAAAGAGATAAATAGAGAAAGAGAGAGATAAATAGAAATAGATAGATAGATGGATAGAGATGAGATAGAGATATAGAGAGGTAGAAAGAGAGAGAGTTAGATAGATAGAGAAAGAGATAGATAGAGATATATAGATATAGAGATAGGTTGAGATAGATGATAGATAGATAGAAATAGATACATAGAGATAGATAAATACATAGAAATCAATCGATATATTAATAGATATCAGTCGAGATTGAAAAAGATAGAGATAGATACAAATAGGGATTGATATATTGATAGATATAAATATAGATCGATGAATACAGAGAGAGATTAGATGGATAGAGATGAATGGGGAGGCAGACAGATAGAGACAGAAAGAGACCGTCTTGGGGGGTCTTCCTTTAATCCCGTCCCCTCCCCAATTGACCCCAATGAGGTCCTGGGAACGAGGCCAACCCCCCCCCCCCAAAACAAACAAACAAACAACCCAGAAATAGGTCACAACAAGGTGGGAGGAAACACGGGGAGGGATACGCCATTCCGCTCCGGGTTTTAGTCCAAACTTCAAAAGGGACTTCCCCATTGGGCAGTCTATATTATTATTATTATTATTATTATTATTATTAATAATAATAATGAGGCCACGATGATGATGATGTTGATTAAATATTATTATATTTATTTATAGCCCACTTTCCCCCCAGGAGAAAGGCAGCTGTTGTTGTTGTTGTTGTTGTTGTTGTTATTATTATTATTGCCTTGCTTTTTTCTTTGGACTCGAACCAAAAATAGCTGCTATGATTATTATTATTATTATTATTATTATTATTATTATTATTATCATTATTTATATTGCTTTGCTTTTCTGTCAGGACTGCAACCCAAAATAACTGCTGCAATTATTATTATTATTATTATTATTATCATTATTATTATCATTATTGCCTTTCTGTCAGGACTGCAACTCATGTTGCAATTTTTATTATTGTTGTTGTTGTTGTCTTGCTTTTCTCTTCGGACTCAGACCCAAAATATGTATTATTATTATTATTATTATCATCATCATCATCATTATTGCCTTGCTTTTCTCTTTGGACTCGAATCAAGATAGCTATTATTATTATTATTATTATTATTATTATTATTATCATTATTACACCTTGGCTTTCTGTTGGGACTGGGACCTAAAATAGCCATTATTATTATTATTATTATTGCCTTTCTTTTCTCTTCGGATTCAGACTCAAAATAGCTATTATCATCATCATTATTTTCATCATTGCCTTGCTTTTCTCTTTGAACTAGAATCAAAATAGCTATGATTATTATTATTATCATCATTATTATTCCTTGCTTTTCTTGTAGAACTGGGACTCACAATAGCCGCTGCAATTATTATTATTATTATTATTATTATTATTATTATTATTATTACCTTGCTTTTCTTCTAGGATTGGGGCCAAATCTTCTTCTATTATTATTATTATTATTATTATTATTATTATTGTCTTGCTTTTCTCTTTGGACTCGAATCAAGATAGCTATTATTATTATTATTACCTTGCTTTTCTCCCAGGATCAGGGCCAAATCTTCTATTATTATTATTATTATTATACACAACAAGATTAGTACACAGCAAACAAGATCACTATACTGGTTGTTGTATTGGATCACACGTCAGACACTATTATTATTATTATTACCTTGCTTTTCTCCAGGATTGGGGCCAAATCTTCTATTATTATTATTATTATTATTATTATTATTATTATTATTATTATTATTATGGTACACAACAAGATGAGTCCACAGCAAACAAGATCTCTCTGCTGGCTGTTGTATTGGATCACACGTCGGACATCATCATCATCACCATTATTATTATTACCTTGCTTTTCTCCCAGGATTGGGGCCAAATCTTCTATTATTATTATTATTATTATTATTATTATTATTATTATTATTATTATTTTGATACACAACAAGATGACACGTCAGACTGTGTGATGTATTGGCAGATAATCTGTACAGATCCCAGTAAGATGGCAGGTGGGGATTTTGTCAGTGCTGGTTGTTTTTAAGTGCAGGCCAAGGACTTGAGGTACTGCACCCAGTGTGCCAATCACCACTGGGACCCTCTTGACTGGCTTGTGCCCGAGTCTTTGCTGTTCAGTTGTTGTTGTTATATAACCTGGTACCGTTGTGCATGCAAAACCTTGATTGGCTGTCCATTTTATAGAGATATAATAATAATAATAATAATAATAATAATAATCACAATCGCAATAATCTGTCACATCTGCATTTCCTTCACCTGGGATCCCCATCGAATCCACATTTCGTTCCAACGTGTTTGAACAGAAACCCGAAGCGTCTCGTTGGAGCCTTGCATAATTAACGCATTCATTGACGGGCTCCTTCCTCCCAGAGGCAATTAAATATGGAGAGCGGAGCTTTAATGAATGCATAAATCATCCCAAACGTTTCGTGCCGGCGGTTGCAACGGGGAAAACAACAACCTGGGGAAAAGGGTCAGGCGAGAAGAGGGAGTGTTCTGCTTGGGAAAATTGGGAAAAATCCCGTCTTCGATGCCGTTGTTTACGAATGCTCCCATTAGAAAATGCATAAGGATATGGGTGAACTACAACTCCCAGAATCAAGGGTCAGTCCTCCCCGAACCAGGGCTGTATGCACAGTTGGCCCCATTGGATGTGTGGGCCAAGTTTGGTCCTGATCTGTCATTGTTTGGGTTCACCGTACTCTCTGAATGGAGGTGAACTACAACTCCCAAAATCAAGGTCGATTCCTTGGTCGTGGGGGTTCTGCGTGCCGATTGTGGTCCTGATCAATTATCGAAGGGGACCTGATGCAGGGTGAACTACAACTTCCATCCTGTAAGGGAGGAGATTGTGGGTGTGGCATTCCATAGCCCCCCATTCCCGTTTGTGGGCGGGGTCTAATCTTGTCCCGCCTCTTCCCTCTCCCCCTCCCTGCTGCAGTTGTATTTCTTCTCCTCCCGGCGCCCGACCCGCCAATCAAAATAGAGTCCCTCAAGGTGAAAGTTGACTTCCTGACGGCGCCCCTGGGCCTGAAGAAGAAGAAGAGGAAGGGGAAGCCGGCCCCCCCGGCGGCCCTGAAGAAGGAGGCGGCCTTGGTCTTGGCCCCCGGACGACCCCGGGGCCCCCCCTCCGTGGCCGACCTCCGACCCCGGCGCCCCGACAACATGGACAACGAGTCCCAGTACTCCGGGTATTCCTACAAGTCGGGACACTCCCGCAGCTCCCGCAAACACCGGTGAGTGACCCCCCCTTGACCCCCAACCCTGGCCGGGGTCACTTCCTCCTCAGCTGACCACATTGCTCATGGTCCTCTTTGGCCAATCAGGTCGTCAGGGTTGACTCGTCAGCTGGTCGCACAGTCAGTATTTCCTTGTCAGCCAATCATTCATATATATATATATATTCCTCTTCAGCCAATCAGATCAATATTAATTTGAATTTATATATTACATTTAACACATTCTATATTGGATATTGTATATATTTTATATATATATTCTTCAGCCAATCAGATCAATATTAATTTATATTTATATATTACATATAACACATTCCTTATTGGGTATTGTATATATTGTGTGTGCGTGTGTGTATATATATATATATATTCCTCTTTAGCCAATCAGATCACTACTTATATATATATATATATATATAGAGAGAGAGAGAGAGAGAGAGAGTGTATTGCATATATTAGATATTATTAATATATATAATAAATAATTTATATATTATCTATTATCTATTCATAGATTCCTCTTCAGCCAGTCAGATCAATATTCATATTGTATTATATAGACTATATATCTGTGTGTGTGTAATATATGTTGTATTATATATTGTACAATAATATATATATATATATATATAATTTTATGTATTATATTTCTCTCTTTAGACAATCAATATTTCCTTGTCAGCCAATCAGATCTGGATTTTGTCAGCCAATCAGATGATCAATATTAATTTATATTTATTCATGTGTGTGTGTGTGTGTAATGAATATGGAAGCCTTGGTTAAATAAAAGCCTTGGTTAATACCAAACTTTATTGAAATGGAGGACTTCCTGCCCAGGAATACCATCAAGTTGAGCTGGAGGATGTCGAAAAGGTTCAATCCGAGGATGTGGACAAGGTGCTTGGAGGAATGAGCGCTACCACATGCATCCTAGACCCCTGCCCATCCTGGCTTCTAAAGGAGGCCAGAGGGGGATTGGCCGAGTGGGTTAAGGTGGTGGTTAATGCCTCCCTTCGGGAAGGCATATTTCCAGCCAGCTTAAAGCAAGCTGTGATAAAACCGCTGTTGAAGAAACCATCACTGGACCCCACTCAATTCGTCAACTATCGGCCTGTTTCCAATCTCCCCTTTTTGGGCAAAGTCATGGAACGTGTGGTGACCTCACAACTCCAGGCATTCTTGGTAGACACGGATTATCTGGATCCAGCACAGTCTGGCTTTAGGCCGGGGCATGGTACCGAGACAGCCTTGGTCGCCTTAGTGGATGATCTCCGTCGGGAGCTCGACAGGGGGAGTGTGTCCCTGTTGGTGCTACTCGACCTCTCAGCGGCCTTCGATACCGTCGACCACGGTATCCTTCTGAGACGCCTCGCGGGAATGGGTCTCGGAGGTACTGCCTTGCGGTGGCTCCAGTCATTCCTCGAGGGTCGGTCTCAGAAGGTGTTACTGGGGGACTCCTGTTCTACCCCACAACCTTTGCATTGTGGGGTTCCTCAGGGTTCAATACTGTCTCCCATGTTGTTTAACATCTACATGAAGCCGCTGGGAGAGATCATCCGGAGTTTCGGGTGCGGTGTCATCTGTACGCAGATGATGTCCAACTCTGTCACTCCTTTCCACCTGCTACTAAGGAGGCTGTCGAGGTCCTGAACCGGTGCTTGGCCGCTGTGACGGTCTGGATGAGGGCGAACAAATTGAAATTGAATCCAGACAAGACAGAGGTACTCCTGGTCAGTCGTAAGGCCGAACAGGGTATAGGGTTACAGCCTGTGTTGGACGGGGTCGCACTCCCCCTGAAGACACAGGTTCGCAGTTTGGGTGTGATCCTGGACTCATCGCTGAGCCTGGAACCCCAGGTTTCGGCGGTGACCAGGGGAGCATTCGCACAGTTAAACTCGTGCGCCAACTGCGACCGTACCTTGGGAAGTCTGACTTGGCCACGGTAGTCCACGCTCTGGTTACATCCCGCCTTGACTACTGCAACGCTCTCTACGTGGGGTTGCCTTTGAAGACGGCCCGGAAGCTCCAACTAGTCCAACGGGCGGCAGCCATGGTACTAACAGGAGCAGGGCGCAGGGAGCATACAACTCCTCTGCTGTACCAGCTCCACTGGCTGCCGATTAGCTACCGGACCCAATTCAAAGTGCTGGCATTGGCCTTTAAAGCCCTAAACGGTTCTGGCCCAACATACCTATCCGAACGTATCTCGGCCTATCAGCCCACCAGGACCCTAAGATCTTCGGGAGAGGCCCTTCTCTCCATCCCGCCTGCTTCACAGGTGCGGCTGGCGGGAACGAGGGATAGGGCCTTTTCTGTGGTGGCCCCACGGCTTTGGAATGCCCTCCCTATAGAGATAAGATCAGCCTCCTCGCTGATGGCATTTCGAAAAAAACTGAAAACATGGATGTTTGAGCAAGCATTCGGCTAATCCGATGCGATGAAGTTTTGATCAAGGACTGGTAATTACAGACAACGAAATTGGATTATGATTTAAGTTAAGAGATGCATTGGTCTGTATTGGTGGCCCAATACTGTGTATTGTATATGTATGTGTTTTATATTTTTATCGGATTATTGTTGTTTTTAATATTGTAAACCGCAATGAGTCGCCGTTTTAGGCTAAGATATTAGCGGTATACAAGTGTACTAAATAAATAAATAAATAAAGGCCTAGAGGGACCCTGTTGTTTCTCGATGGGGTTAACTGTGGACCCCATCTGTGAGGAGGATACGTTTTTGAACTGTGGATCATACAAGGCCTTGTTGAAATGAACTACGTCTCTCTTTTTCCGAACACAGGGACCGGCGGGAGCGCCACCGCTCCAAGAGCCGAGATGGGAGCCGCGGGGATAAGTCGGTCACCATCCAGGCCCCCGGGGAGCCCCTCCTGGACAATGAGTCAACTCGCGGAGACGAGAGGGTGAGCGAGTGGCAGGGACTCCTAAGCAAGGGTCAGGGGTTCCCCCATAAGAAGGTCCAGAAAGGTCCCTGGAATAATGTCCAGAAGGGCCCCCACAAAACAATGACCAGAGGGTCTCCCGTAATAATATCTGAAAGGTCTCTTGAAATAATGTCTGGAAGGTCCTCCAAAGTAATATCCAGGAGTTCCTCCATGAGAACATCCAGAAAGTTATCTAAAATAATGTACGAAAGGGCCCCTAAAGTAATGTCCAGAGGAACCCCCAAGGTGATGTCCCCCCAAAGTAATGTCCAGAGGTTCCACCATAAAACATGCCCAGGCCATCCCCAAAAATAATGGCTAGAAGGTCCACCCAAAACAATGTCCAGAAGGTCCCCTACAATAATGTCCAGAAGGTCACCCAAAGTAATGTACCCCTAAGGTAATATCTTGCCAAAGTCATGTTCCCCCAAAGTTATGTCCCCCCAAAGTCATGACCCCCCCCCCCAAGTTATGTCCGGAAGATTCCCTAAAATAATATCCAGACAGTCCCCTAGAGTAATGTCCAGAAGATCTCCCAAAGTAATGTCCCCCTAAAGTGATATCTCACCAAAGTCATGTCCAGAAGAAGGTCCCCTTAAATAATGTACAGGTGGTCCCCCAAAGTAATGTGTCCCCAAAGTCATGACTCCCCAAAATTATGTCCGGAAGGATCCCTAAAATAATATCCAGACGATCCCATAGAATAATGTTTGGAAGGTCCCCTACAATAATGTCCAGAAGGTCCCCCAAAGTAATATCCAGGTGTTCCCCCATGAGATCTTCCAGAAAATTATCTAAAATAATGTTCAAGAAGGCCCCCCAAAGTCACGTCTTCCCAAAGTAATGTTCAGAAGGTGACTAAAATAATGTTCAGAGGCACCCCTAAAGTGATGTCCCCCCAAAGTAATGTCCAGATGTTTTGCCATAAAAAATGCCCAGGCCATCCCCTAAAATAATGCCTAGAAGGTCCACCCAAAATAATGTCCCCCTAAAGTGATATCTCACCAAAGTCACATCCCCTCAAAGTCATGTCCAGGAGAAGGTTCCCTAAAATAATGTACAGACAGTCCCCAAAAGTCATGTGTCCTCAAAGTCATGACCCCCCCTTCCCAAGTTATGTCTGCAAGGTTCCCTAAAATAATATCCAGACGGTCCCCTAGAATAATGTCCGGAAGGTCCCGCAAAGTAATGTACCCCTAAAGTGATATCTCACCAAAGTCATGTGTCCTCAAAGTCAGGTACCCCCAAAGTAATGATGCCCCAAGTTATTTCTGGAAGGTCCTCCAAAGTAATGTCCAGATGGTCCCTTACAATAATGTCCATCCGCCCCCCTTCTTGGTCTTCCTTAGGACGACAACTGGGGCGAGACAACGACGGTGGTGACGGGGACGTCAGAGCACAGCATCTCACACGAGGACCTGACGCGCATCGCCAAGGACATGGAGGACAGCGTCCCGCTGGACTGCTCGCGGCACCTGGGGGTCTCCCTGGCTGCGGGGCTGGCGCTGCTGTGCTTCCTGACCCCGCTGGCCTTTGTGCTGCTGCCACCGGCGCTATGGGGGGAGCGGCTGGAGCCGTGCGGGACCCCCTGCGAGGGCCTCTTCCTCTCGGTGGCCTTCAAACTGCTGATCCTGCTGCTGGGCAGCTGGGCCCTCTTCTTCCGGCGGCCCAAGGCCTCCTTCCCGCGGGCCTTTGCCTTCCGGGCCCTGCTGATGGTGCTGCTCTTCCTCCTGGTGGTCTCCTACTGGCTCTTCTACGGCGTGCGCATCCTGGACTCCCGCGACCCCAACTACCAGGGCATCGTCCAGTACGCCGTCTCCCTGGTGGACGCCCTGCTCTTCGTCCACTACCTGGCCGTGGTCCTCCTCGAGCTGCGGCAGCTCCAGCCCCACTTCACCCTCAAGGTGGTCCGCTCCACCGACGGCGCCAGCCGCTTCTACAACGTCGGGCACCTCAGGTCAGGACAAACGCCGGGGGTCACACACATCCTCATTAATGGGGTACTGTAAATATGACCGAGTGTATGGCGGAATACGGGGTCATGTGGCCCCTTCTAAGGAAAGGATACTCCAGATATGGCTGTATCCTCTCCAATAAGGATGTACCACAACTGTGGCCAAATTTGGAGTCAGTCAAGTGTTCTCCAAGAAGGAGATAATGCAAATATGGCTGGATATGGGATCAGTCGTGTGCCCCTCTCCAAGAAGGAGGTACTGCAAATATGTCCAAATTTGGGGTCGATCATGTGCATTCCTCTAAGAAGAGGGTACTTCAAATATGTCCAAATATGGGATAGGTAATGTCCCCCCCCCATAAGAGTGAGCCGTAAATATGGTCGGATACACGATCGGTCATGTGCACCCCCTAAGAAGGGAGTATTGCAAATATGGCCGAATATGGGGTCGGTCATGTCCCCCCCATAAGAGTGTACTATAAATATGGCCATATACAGGGTTGGTCATGTGCTCCCCGCTAAGAAGGAAGTACCACAAATGTGGCTAAATACGGAGTCAGTCAGGTGTCCCTCTACAAGAAGGAAGTACTGGAAATATGGCTGAATATGGGGTCAGTCATGTGTCCCCCTCTAAGAAGGGGGTACTGAAATCTGGCCAAATTTAGAGTCGGTCATGTGCCCTTCAATAAGGATGCACCATAAATATGGCCGGAGACAAGGTCATAAAAAGGGAATACTGCAAATATGGCCGAATATGAGGTCAGCTCTGCCGCCCCCCTCTTGATAAGAGAGTGCCACAAATATGGCTGAATTCGGGGTCAGTTGTGTAACCCCCTCTAATAAAAGGGGTACAGCAAATATGACCAAATTTGGAGTAAGAAGGGGATATTGCAAATATGGCCGAGTATGGAGTCAGTCATGTGGCCATCTCCAAGAAGGAGGTACCCCAAATATGGCCGAATACAGGGTCCATCATGTACTCCTACCTAAGAAGGGGATACTGCAAGCATTACTGGATATGGGGTCAATCATGTGCCCCCTTCAATAAGGGGGTATCACAAACACAGTCCCATAACGGGTCGGCCACGTCCTGCCCCCCCCCCAATATAGGGGTACCATCAACATGGGCTCGTATATGGGGGTCTACCATTTGTGAAAGAGGTCACATGCACCCCCCCCCCAAGAAAAGAAGTGCCACATGATATATATGATGTAATAATAATGTAATTATTATATATATAATGCATATTAATTAATTAATTAATATTAATTAAATATACATTTAAAATATTAATTAAATGATATTATATATTATAATGTAATGATATAGTAACTGCACCCTCAATTCGCTTTTGGGTAAAGTGGAGTGGCCACAAGGGGTCGGGGTTGGTCACATGCCCCCCCCCTCCCAAGAAGAGAAGTGCCACAAACACATTCGCATATGGGTTTGTCATGTACCCCACCCCCCCCATAAGAAGGGGATACTCCAAATATGGCCGAATATGGGTCCAGTCGTGTGATCCCCTTCCAATAAGCATGTATCGTGGATATGACCGAACACAGGGTCTGACATGTGCTCCTTTCTAACAAGGGGGATGGTGGTCCTGGGGTCAGGGTTGGCCACGTGCTCCCCAGATATGTGCCCCCCCCCAACACGGTCTAACATGGAGTCTACCATTTGGGGAAGGTTCAGTAAGCCTCACGTGATTGGGATGGGTCATAATCCCCCTTGAAGAAGAGAGGTGCCACAAACACATGCAAAAAGACACACACATACACTCCCCACCCTCGAAGACTGGTACCATACAGGATCCATCACATGTAGACGGCCATTGGGATCGGGTTCCAATAGGATTTCCCTCTGCTTGCGTTTCCCGGCAGCATCCAGAGAGTGGCGGTGTGGATCTTGGAGAACTACTACCAGGACTTCCCCGTCTCCAACCCGGCGCTCCTCAACCTGCCCAAGTCTGTCCTCTCTAAGAAGATGTCCGGGTTCAAGGTCTACTCCCTCGGAGAAGGTGGGTCTCCCCATAGATCCGTGAGTCTCTGCACTTAATATTCATCATTCCTGTTTCCTTGCTGAGAAAAGGGGGGCTTGAGACCTCTCTAGGAATTTGCTAGATCCTCCAGACCAACGCCCAGTGTACTATAGAATTACCTAGAGGACCTAAGGAATTCCAAGACAGAATAATTTCCTCGAATGTCTAGTGCCTTCAGCCCAAACCTGATGTTCCTTCTAGCAGAAACGTACCATAGAATTGCCTGGAAGACTTACAAAATTCCTAGAGACAACCCTTTTTTATTTTTTAGATCTTCTGGAGAAACTCTATAGTAAGTACCATAGAATTGTCTGGAAGAACTAGATAATTCCTAGAGAAATCCCATTTTTGTTAAATGTCCTCCACCTTTAGGAAGTTCCAGCAAATACTACCATGGAAAAACGAGATCATTCCTAGTGAGAACACCTTCCTCAGATTTCTAAGTCCTCCAATGCCACTCTATGGTAACTTCCTGTAGAAGTGTACCATAGAATCATCTGAAGGATTGTAATAAATCCCAGAGAGGATATCTTATTTTGAATGTGTAGGTCCTACGAGCAACTTCTTTGGCATTTTCAGATGCGTGCTATCATAGAATTGTCTGGAGGACCTTCCTGTAATATCTCGGTCCTCCAGCAGCACAACTCTTTGGCGACTTCTACTGGGATTGTACCATAGAGTTGCCTGTAGGATATTCCTAGAGAGAACACTTGTTTTTTCCTTCCTCTCTCCTAGAAAACACGACCAACAACTCGACCAGTCAGTCCCGTGCCGTGATTGCGGCGGCCGCTCGTCGGAGGGACAACAGCCACAACGAGTATTACTACGAGGAGGCGGAGCACGAGCGCCGGGTGCGGAAGAGGCGGGCCAGGTGGGTCCCGTGATTTGGGAATGGGGTGGGGCTTCCAGTCGGCGTCCCTTGACCTTCATCCGCGACCCTTGACCACCCTCCTTTCCCTCGGTCACCCCGCAGGCTGGTGGTGGCTGTCGAGGAGGCCTTCACGCACATCAAGCGCCTGCAGGAGGAGGACCAGAAGAACCCGCGGGAGGTGATGGACCCCCGGGAGGCGGCCCAGGCCATCTTTGCCTCCATGGCCCGCGCCATGCAGAAGTACCTGCGCACCACCAAGCAGCAGCCCTTCCACACCATGGAGAGCATCCTCCAGCACTTGGAGTTCTGCATCACCCACGACATGACCCCCAAGGTGCGCCCCAGAATACACACAATGGGGGGAATGGGGCCCTTGGGTGGGTGGATCAGACTCATCCTGGGGTTTTGTCTGGTCACGTCTTGAGGGGGGTAATAGGGCTGGTGGGTGGGTCGGGTTTCATCTTGAGGCAACGAGACCAATGAGTGGGTCCAACTTGTCCTGGGGTCGCATCTGGTCTCATCATCTCAAGGGGGGCATGGGGCCAGATTGTGGATTGTCCTCGTAGTGGGGTCTCATCTCAAAATCGTCCACAGCAATAGGATCTCTTTGGACCCATTAGAGTTGGGTTCCTAGATGACATCTAGACCACCTTTTACTCCGTGAAGGATCTTCTACTGAAGACACCTGGATAGAGGGAAGAATATTGGACCCATGGTCTCATCTCAATAACATGCATAGTGATAGGTTCCATTGGAATCATAAGATGGGGCCCTAGAATGATAGGGAGCAGAAGCCATGGTCTCAGCTTGAAATGATCAACATCAGTAGGTCCTGTTTAGACATATTGGAATCATAGGGTTGGGATGGGTCTCTGGAGGACATCTATCCATAGTGATAGCTTCAATTAGAGTCATAGGATGGGATCATAGAGAACATCTAGTCCACCTTCTGCTCCATGTAGGATCAAGACCATTATCTCCCAACTTGGAACAATAGGAGGACATTGGACTCATGCCTGGATTTCACCATGGTCTTGTCTCGAGAACATCCGTAGTGATAGGTTCCATCAGAATTGTAGGATGGGTTTCTAGAGAACATCTAGTCCACCTTCTGCTCCATGTAGGATCAAGACCATTATCTCCCAACTTGGACATTGGACTCATGGCTGGGTCTCACCATGGTCTTGTCTCGAGAACATCCATAGTGATCAGTTCCATCAGAATTGTATGATGGGTTCCTAGAGATCATCTAGTGCACCTTCTACACCATGTAGGTCTACTGAAGACAAGACCAGTGTCTCTCAACTTGGGTCAATGGAAGGACATTGGACTCATAGAGGAGTCTCTTCGTGGTCTCATCCCGAAATCATCTACATTGGGTAGATGCTGTTTGAGCCTGTTGGAATCATAGAGTTGGGATGGGTCCCTAGAGGCCACCTAGTCCACTTTCCGCTTAATGGAGGATCTCTTTCTAGACTATTGAAACTCTTCTCCAATCTCCCTGCAGGCCTTCCTGGAGCGCTATCTGACGGCAGGTCCCACCATCCAGTACCACAAGGACCGCTGGCTGGCCAAGCAGTGGACGTTGGTCAGCGAGGAGCCGGTGACCAACGGCTTGAAGGATGGGGTGGTCTTTGTCCTTAAGCGCCACGACTTCAGCCTGGTGGTCAGCACCAAGAAGATCCCTTTCTTCAAGCTCTCGGAGGAGTTTGTGGACCCCAAGTCGCACAAGTTTGTGATGCGGCTCCAGTCGGAGACTTCGGTGTGAAAGGAAACCCGAGGCCCGAGCAAAGGACTTCGGGGGCCTCCGTTTGCGGGGAGCACCATACTCGTCCTTCGGGGCGGTGACTGCACCCGGAAAGCAGCCATCTTGGAGTTTACAGTTCCGTCTCTACGCATCTTCAGGTGCCCACGTTGACCACTCCGTCCCCTCAACCTTTTTTTTACAAGTTCCTTCAGGACAACATTGAAGCGGTGAGACAGTTTTGGGGTCCCATCACCCTTTCCACTTTTCTACTTTCCGAAATCCCAATTTCCTCATATCGGACATCTCCAGAGCTCTGAAATTACTACGTATCAGGGCTACAGAGAACTCTCGAATTGAAAACGCCCGTGTTTCGGTACCGGAGATCTCTCACTCGTAAATAGAAAACATGGAATTTTGGTGCCTGAGATGTCTTCACTCGTAAATAGAAAACATGAAGTTGCAGTGCAGGATATCTCTTCACTCAGTTTCGGTGACTGAGATCTCGCTCGTAAATAGAAAACATGGAATTTCGATGACAGAGATCTCCCACTCGTAAGTAGAAAGGATTGAGTTTGGCTGCTGGAGATCTCCTCACTCGTAAAATAGGAAACATGGCGTTTTGCTGCCAGAAATCTCTTCACTCGTAAATAAAAAACATGGAGTTTCGGTGCCGGAGATCTCATCACTCGTAAATAGAAAACATTGAATTCGTAAATAGAAAAGATTGAGTTGTGGTGACGGAGATCTGTCTCGTAAATAGAAAACATGGAATTTCGGTGCCAGAGATCTCTCACTCATAAGTAGAAATTATTGGGTTTGGCTGCTGGAGATCTCCTCATTCTTAAATAGGAAACATGGAGTTCTGGTGCCGGAAATCTCTTAACTCGTAAATAGAAGACATGGAGTTTCGGTGCTGGAGATCTCGTCACTCGTAAATAGAAAACATTGAGTTCGTAAATAGAAAAGATTGAGTTTCGGTGCCTGAGATCTCGTCACTCGTAAATCAAAAACATGGAGTTTTAATGCCAGAGATCCCGTCACTCGTAAATAGAAAAGGTGGAATTTTGGTGCTGGAGATCTCTTCACAAGTAAACAGAAAACATGAAGTTGAAGTGCAGATCTCTTCACGCATAAATATAAAAGATTGAGTTTCAGTGACTGAGTTTCCAAAACTTTTACGAGTTTTGGTCACTCGTAAAAGAAAACGTGGAATTTTTGTGCCGGAGATCTCTCACTCGTAAGTAGAAAAGATTGGGTTTAGCTGCCAGAGATCTCTTCACACATAAATAGAAAACATGGAGTTTTGGTGCTGGAGATCTCTAACTCGTAATTAGAAAAGACTGAATTTCAGCGACTGAGGTCTCTTCACTCATTAATAGAATATATTGTGTTTCTGTGCGGGAGATCTCTTCACTCGTAAATAGAAAACATGGAGTTTTGGAGTAGGAGATATCTACATGGATTTCATAAACATGGATTTCATAAATAAAAAAGATTTTAGTTTCGATGCCGGAGATGTCTCTCTCATAAGTAGAAAACCTTGAGTTTAATTGCTGGACATCTCTTTACTCGTAAATAGAAAAAATGGAGTTCGTAAGTAAAAAAGAGTGAGTTCCGGTGCCTGAGATCTCTTCACTCGTAAATAGAAAATATTGAGTTTTGGTGCAGAAAATCTCCTTCTCATAAATAGAAAACAGTGAGTTTCTGTGCCGGAGATCTCGTCACTCGTAAATAGAGAAGGCTGAGTTTCGGTGCCTGAGATCTCTCATTCGTAAAAAAAACATGGAGTTTCGGTGCCAGAGAACTCTTAACTCGTAAATAGAAAAACTTCCGAGTTATGGTTCCAGAGATCTCTTCACTCGTACATATCTCTCATTCGTAAAAAAAAAAAATGGAGTTTCGGTGCCCGAGAGCTTGTCACTTGTAAATAGAAAAACTTCCGAGTTTTGGTGCCGGAGATCTCTTCACTCGTAAATATCTCGGATTTGTAAAAAAAGAACGTTTCGGTGGCGTTGAGCTTCGGTGCCTGAGAGCTCTCGTTCGTAAAAAAAAACATGGCGTTTCGGTGCCAGAGAGCTCTTAACTCGTAAATAGAAAAACTTCCGAGTTTTGGTGCCAGAAATCTCTTCACTCGTAAATATCTCAGATTCGTAAAAAAAGAAAACATGGAGTTTCGGTGCCAGAGAGCTCTTAACTCGTAAATAGAAAAACTTCCGAGTTTTGGTGCCAGAGATCTCTTCACTCGTAAATATCTCGGATTTGTAAAAAAAGAAAACATGGCGTTTCGGTACCAGAGAGCTCTTAACTTGTAAATAGAAAAACTTCCGAGTTTTGGTGCCAGAAATCTCTTCACTCGTAAATATCTCGGATTTGTAAAAAAAGAAAACATGGCGTTTCGGTGCCAGAGAGCTCTTAATTCGTAAATAGAAAAACTTCCGAGTTTTGGTGTCGGAGATCTCTTCACTCATAAGTAGAAAACGGACAGGTTTCGGTGCCATATTTTAAGGGCTAATTCCGTTCACCAGCATCTCCAGGTTTTGAGGGACCTTTCCGTGAATGTTCTTTCCTTACACAAACACACACAAAAAAACCAGTGAACCTCAACAGTTCTGGCCTTCGAAACTTCGCTCGTTTTCCCGCAAACTCCAGCTGGACTTGCACAAAACTTTTTTTTTTTTGGTGGGGAGCATTTTAGGGATAGATAGATAGATTATATGTAAAAGAAAAGAAAGAAAGGAAAGTTGGGATTGTAGCTGCTATTTTTTAAACTGACATCTTCATCACATGTTTTTTGTATTTCGTCCCGTTCACACGCAAAAGAAGGACATTTTGGGAGGGTGTTGTTCTGTTTCCAAGGGAAGGCCCTAACTTGGGAAGAAGTTCATCTTTCGTCTCCGTTTGTAAATAATCGCTGTTCGAACAACGCGGATCGCATTTCGGTTTGCGTCCACCGTCTTGAGGTTTCTCTCTGTGGTATATCGGATTTGTGTTGACGTCTGTTTGTGTCTTTCTTTTGGGATTTGGGTGTGCAGATCTGGGGTCGAAGTTGCCCTTTTTGGTTCGATGAGAAGCGATTCCTACACAATTCCCCTTCGGATGAATTGAGCGTTGTTGTCCCCATTGTTTTGAGTGCGATTTCTCGTATTCCGCTCGCAAAAGTGAAGGAATAACAACATTTGGGGGTTTTCTTGGTTCCCGTCCCCCAATTCCTCGCTATTGTCGTACTGTCTTCACCAGTGTTTCTCAACCTTCCTAATGCCGTGACCCCTGGATACAGTTCCTCATGTCGTGGTGACCCCCAACCATCAAATTATTTTCGTTGCTACTTCATAACTGTAGTTTTGCTAGTGTTATGAATACTAATGCAAATATCCAATATGCAGGATGTATTTTCATTCACATTTGGCACAAATACCCAGTATTTGAATTTCAATACTGGTGAGGTTGGGAGAGATTGATTTTGTCATTTGGGAGTTGTAGTTGCTGGTATTAATAGTCCACCTAAAATCAAACAGCATTCTGAACTCCACCAACGATGGAATTGAACTAACCTTGGCACACCAAACTCCCATGACCAACGGAAAACACTAGAAGAGTTTGGTGGGCATTGACCTTGAGTTTGGGAGTTGTAGTTCATCTACACCCAGAGACCACTATGGACACAAACAATGATGGTTCTGGATCAAACTTGACATGAATATTCCATATGCCGAAATGTGAACAGTGGTGGAGTTTGGGGGGAAATAGACCTTGATATTTGGGAGTTGTTGTTGCTGGGATTTACAGTTCACCTATGATTAAAGAGCCCCTTGAATCCCACCAATGGTAGAATTGGGTCAAACTTCCCACACAGAACCCCCGTAACCAAGAGAAAAAACAGTTTTTTCTGATGGTCTTTGGTGACCCCTCTGAGACCCCCTCGTGACCCCCCCCAGGGGTCCCGACCCCCAGGTTGAGAAACACTGGTCTTCACTGTCAGAAATCCTGCCGGCTATGCCACGTATGTCGTGAATACAGTGTTCCCTCACTTATCGCAGGTGTTACGTTCCAGGACCTCCTGCGATAAGTGAAAATCCGCAAAGTAGGGACGAGGAGGAGGAGGAGGGGGGGACGGGGAGCCAAACGCTGGCCTTACCCCAGAGCTTTTCTCTGGGACGGGCCTTGGCACAACCCTCTTCGACAGCAGCCTCCTCCTCCTCACCTTCTCCGCGGCTCCCCACTCCTTCCTGGACTCATCTTGTTGTGTTTCAAATAATAATAATAATAATAATAATAATAATAATAATAATTTAATATTAAATGTGATTAAATCTCGCTCAATTGCAAAAAAAAAAGCAAGATAAAAATATAATAATTTTAAAAGCATGCGGATATTTATTTATATACCGCTTTTCTCGCCTGAGGGCTGAGAAAAGCGGTATATAAATAAAGTAAATAAATAATAATAATAATAATAATATTGTATTATTATTATTATTATTATTTCCTGCTCAATCAAAATAAAAGCAGGAGTATAAACATAATAATAATACAATACTGGTGTGGTTTTTAATATTATTATTTTTCTATCTTGCTTTTTTCGTAATTGAGCGGGATTTAAACACATTTAATATTAAATAATTATTACTACTAATAATACTATTATCAATAATAATAATATTTTTCTTTTATCTGTTTTAGTTATTTTTGGGGTCTCTTCTTTTAAAATGCTCAGAAATGGGGAATTGAGTGACATCACTGTGACCTTTTTAATAATAGTATTAGTAATTTTTAAAAGAAAATATTTTTGGAAATAAGGGAAGCCATCTTTAAATTCCCGTACGAAACTGTGTCTTAAAAATGTAATACAGGTTGAGCATCTTTTATCCAAAAATAATATTATGCGATATTTCTAGGTGATGAATATTATATATGGATCCCATTTCCAAAGATGCATATGCAAATATTTCAAATAATGTATGAAATATTCCAAATATTGCAAAAAAAATTCCAAATATTTGTCATGACCTTATTTCCTGGTTTTGTGTGAAGCCAGGAAATTAGGCCATGCCGTAGATCTGGCTTTAGATCAAACGCATACATTGGGGTACGAAAAAAAATTCCAACTGACAGTTTACTTCCCTCACACCTCCGATCTCTCATGAAACATGGGTGAGTATTGCCATGGAAATAGGAGCAATGAGAGATCAGAGGTGTGAGGGAAGTAAACTGTCAGTTGGAATTTTGTTTCGTACCCTAATGTATGCTTTTGAATACAGCCTTCCTGCTTTATTCGTGAGGTAATTTTTTTCACCAGAAAGCTACAGATTCGGACAATATTACAGAAAATATTCCTAAAATTACAAAAAATATTCTAAATATTGAAAAAATATTCCTAAAATTACAAAACAAAAATTCTAAGTATTGTAAAAATATACCTAATTTTTTTACAAAAATATTCCAATTATAGAAAATATTCCAAATATTTTAAAACAATATTTCAAATATCATAACATCTTACAAATATTATACAAAAATATTTCAAATATTGCTCCAATTTCAAAAAAGAATTGCAGAAAGAATTTACAATTATTATAGAAAATATTCCGAATACTGGCAAAACAATATTTCAAATATCATAAAATCTTACAAACATTATACAAAAATATTTCAAATATTCCTCCAATTGCAAAAACAATTCCACAAAAATATTACATTTATTATAGAAAATATTCCAAATATTGGCAAAAAAATTCAAATATCATAAAATCTTACAAATATTATACAAAAATATTTCAAATATTCCTCCAAGTGCAAAAAAAATCCACAAAAAATTACAATTATTATAGAAAATATTCCGAATATTGGCAAAACAATATTTCAAATATCATAAAATCTTACAAATTTTATTCAAAAATATTTCAAATATACCTCCAATTGCAAAAAATAAATTCCACAATTATTATAGAAAATATTCCGAATATTGGCAAAACAATATTCCAAAAAAATGTAAAAAATATTCCTATAATTGCAAAAGAAATATTCAGATAGTCCACAAAATTATTCCAAACACTGTACATTTCCCAAATATTTAGAAAATTAGAGTAATATTAGGAATATTGTTAATATTTGGAGTAGTGTCAGTATTCCAAAATCTCAAATTTCAGATAAAGGAAGGCTCAACCTGTATTATAAATATTTGTAAAAATAAGTGAATCTAATGGGACCAAACAATGTCATCCTGCTTCGTTTTGGATTAATTGTCAATTTTATTTTCTAAATTCTTTTAAATGGAGAGATTTTTTTTTTAAAAAAAGATTTATTTGTTTTGCAGGGATTTGTGGTCTTTGTAGTCCTTTGCGTCAGATCCGTCCGTAATTGTCTTATTTGTGGCCTTCCCAGCATAATATCACTGCCATTTTTACATCCAATTTTGTACAATTTTGTCTCATTTTTTATCATGAAAAATGCCCATTTTTTAAGATTTTAATGTGCAAAAATTTACACTGAATTTAGAGATTTTTTTCAATGTTTGGTTATTTTCTTTTTAAATAAAAAAATTAAAAATAGTAATAAAAATAAGGACAGAATGAGAAGAAGAAGAAGAAGTGGAAACTTTTGCGTGCATGCCTGTAGAAAGCTGTAAAGTGTAAAATTGTTTGTTTTTTTAATATATATAATGTTTCTGTTTTCACCGTTTGCCGTGGGACGAAAGCCGTTCAGAAATACTAGGAGTCTTTTTTTTCATAAAATAATAGGAGGTAAAACTGTACATTTTTTTTCTTAAAAAAAAGGAAAATAAAGAAAAATAAATACCTTTCCAGATCTCGTTTTTCTCCCGTCTTTCCACTATGACCTGCAATGTCGTGGGGGGGGGGCCTTCGGGGTCTCCCGGGGAGTGGGAGATAGGGCACCCCGGCCGTACACATATACATACATACATACATACATATTCTCACTTTTATTATGGATATAGATTTGGAAAATATCTTCGGGGTCTCCTGGGGAGTGGGAGATAGGGCACCCCGGCCACACACATATACATACATACATATTCTCACTTGTATTATGGATATAGATTTGTAAAAAATATATAAACATTTATATATATATATATATATATATATATATATATATATATATATATATATAAACAAATGTATATGTCATTAAGAAACAAAGTTATGTATTTCTTGAAATATGTATATATTATTTTAAATATATTTTTTCATTTTTAAATATATACTATATATATAATTATTCAAATATATAATTAGGTAATTAAGAAATATATTGTTATGTATTTGCTAACACACATATATTCTATTTTCATAAAATAATAATTTGAAAAATATAAATGTATATGTATATATATAATTAAGAAATATTTATTATATGAATAGAATAATAATTTGAAAAATATAAATGTATATATATATATATAATTAAGAAATATTTATTATTATATGAATAGAATAATAATTTGAAAAATATAAACGTATTTATATATATATAATTAACAAAAATATTTATTATTATTTTAATAGAATAAGAATTTGAAAAATTAACTCCTTCTTCTTCTCCTACTACTAGTAGTAGGTATGGTGTCAGAATGCTGACTCACAACAGTATTAATATATAGAATTAAGAAATAATAAATATTTCTTAATTGTATATATTAATACATTTATATTTTGCAAAAATATAAAATCAGAAGGGTGGGATATTAATACGTTTATATTTTTCAAATTATTACTCTATTAAAATAATAAACAATATGAAAAATATAAACGTATTAATATATAGAATAAAGAAATATTATTTTAATAGAAAAATAATTTGAAAAATATATTAAAAATATTAAAATAATAAACAATATGAAAAATATAAACGTATTAATATATAGAATAAAGAAATATTATTTTAATATCAAAATAATTTGAAAAATATAAATGTATTATTTTATAGAATTAAGAAATATTTATTATTTTAATAGAATAATAATTTGTAAAATATTTATAAACACATTAATATATATATTAAGAAATATAATTATGTGTGTTAAAACATATTCATATATTCTTTTAAAATAAATGTGTATATTTGTTCACATATATATAATAAAATGTTTATATATATATATATATACACACACACATCAAATTTTATAATAAAATCAAAAGGGTGGGATGACATTGTTGTGTATTGAATATATGTGTGTGCGTATAATTAAACAATGTTTATATATTTTAAAATTATATATCTAATATATTTAAATTGTATATTTATATATTTTAAAATTATATATATATATATATATATATATATATATATATATATATATATAATATTTATATATTTTAAAATTGGGAATAAATATATATATATAATGTATTGTAAAGAATTGCATGAATGCTGAATCACGTCTGTCTTTGGTTCGGATCCTCTTCCTCTTGGCTGCCCATTAGCGCTTCCGTCGTTTGCAGGGTTTCCTCTGGAATCGGCTTGAATGCCTGCAATCCAAGGGAGACCCACGTCATTATTACTTCCTTTTCCCCGTCTTCCTCTCTTATTTCCTTTTTCCTTCCTTCCTTCCTATTTACCTCTGGCTCCACCTCACGGGGGCGGTCCTCTTCCTCGGAGTCTGTGAATCAGAAGTCAAGACTGAGGTGAGTGACAGCGGCCTTTTCGGGCCACGCCCTCTTTTCCTCGTGGTGGGTGGGGCTTAAAAGTGGGTGGGGCTTATACCTGATGATTCGTTGATGGAGGCGGCCCTACTGCGACTTCCTAGGTACAAAAGGAGGAAAAAAATTAAAATATATTATATTATATTATATATACACACACACAGACAAATATATATACATATATTTACATTTGTGTTTGTGTGTGTGTGTGTATATATATATATATATAGCAAATATTAAAAATATATTTATGTAATTATATATATTAAAATTAAATATATTTATTTTAAAAGTGTGTATTATAGTTTATATATATATGTTGAAAAATAAAAAATATTTTTATTTCTATATATTATATAAACATTTCTTATTTTAGAAATATACCTATACATCATATATTTTAAATTAGAGATATGAATTAATAATTGTAAAAATGCATATTTTTATTTTTGAAATATGTATTATACGTAATTTTAATTGTATAGTAACATACATATTAAAGTATATAAAATATAAACTATAAAATATTTTTATTTCAATATATAATGTTAAATACATATAAATAAACTTTGTGTATATATATATATATCTTAAATAAACTTTAGTTATATATATTAGCAAATATAAGTATATATTTTAAAATTATATGCATATACATATAAACATACACATAGATATGCATATACATATATTAAAATGTTTGTTTTATTTTGAAATGTATATATTTTATAACATTTATGTGTGTGTATATATATATATATATATATTATATAAACAAATATACATATGCATATATAAAAATACATGTTTTATTATACATATTATATAATATTTAAAATTATATATAATTAACATATATATATATGTATATGTGTATATATATACACACACACACAATGTATTTCAGACTTACCCATGATGCCTCTCTTTCGTCGGTACATAATGAAGAGTCCGACCAATAGCAGCAGAGCGACAAAAAGCGGGACGAGGTACTTAGCGTAAACGGCGGCAGAAGGGGCGGAGCCTGGCTCTGAGGAAGGGGTGGAGCCAAAGGGATCATATTTGAATAAATATTATTTTAAAATAAATAAAAATAATAGTAATCCATCAATGAATCAAAACAATAAAATGAAAACAGAGAAATGAATTAAAATCAAAATAATAAACATTAAAAAACAAACGAATTAAAATCAAAATAATAAATATTAAAACAAATTAAAATAATAAATATTTTAAAAACCAAATGAATAAAAATAATAAATAATAAAATAAGAATTAAAAATAAACAGAATCAATTAATTTAAATTAAAAGAATAAGAACGATTAAAACCAGTAATAAGAATCAAGAAAAATAGAAAACAGTAAGACATCAATACATTAAAATGGAATTAAAAATAAAAATAGTAAAAAGTGAATAAAAATAACTATATTTTAAGAACAGTGACATTAATAAATTAAAACCAAAATAAAAATAAAAACAGTAAGAAGTGAAATTAAAATCAAAAGAGATTAATATTAAAAATTTTAAAAATATATACGAATTGAATGAATTAAAGAAAAATAAAATAAAAACAGTAAGAAGTGAAATTAAAATCAAAAGAGATTAATATTAAAAAATTAAATAAATATACGAATTGAATGAATTAAATAAAAAAAAATAAAAAATAAGAAATGAATTAAAACGGTAACAATAAAAATAAAAAAACAGTCGTAAGAATGAAGAAAACTAAAAAACCAGTGAGACATCAGTGAATTAAAATCAAAATAATATTAATTTTAAAAAACCAGTAAAAATGAAAATAGAAGCCAAAACTGAAAAAGATAACGTACCAATGGAAATGGTAATTAAAAATTATATAAATAAATAAAATGCGAATAAATTCCTGTATATAATACCCTCTTTGATGCCTTGAAAGGGGGTCGTGGCAATGGAGAGTCCCATTTTTTCTTCCGTCTCGTTTTGTCCCGCCTCGAAGGGCCGTCGCAACGCTTCCAATGGAAGAACTGCGCCAAAAAAATAAATAGTAAAATAAATTAAAATAAAGGAGGGTCACATAGCAGGAAAGTGCTTCGAATTCCCGCTCAACAACAGTATATTATTATTATATTTCTTGGGCTTCATGATGTATTTTCGAATGATGTGCTTATTATTATTATTATTATTATTATTATTATTATAATAGACTGTTAGTTCTTTTACATTATATTTGTATTATTACATGATTACTATATTATTATTAGTTCATTTACATTATTATTTTCATATGATTACTGTATTATTAATATAGTTAAAAACCGTTTAAAAAATTGCAAACACTGCTCTATGTTTTAATTTAATTTTTTCTTTTAATACGTATAAAATTCCCATTAAATCATGTATATTTACTAGTTCATTTACATTATTATTTTTACATGATTACTCTATTATTAATATAATTAAAAACTTTTTAAAAATATGCCAACTTCTCTATATTTTTATTTTATTTTTTCTTTTAATACGTCAAAAATTCCAATTAAATCGTCTATATTTATTAGTTCATTTACATTATTATTTTTATATGATTACTCTATTATTAATATAATTAAAAACTTTTTTAAAAAATATTCAAACACTTCCCTATATTTTTATTTTATTTTTTTCTTTTAATGTGTCTAAAATTCCCATTAAATTGTGTATATTTATTAGTTCATTTATTAGAGTAATCGTATAAAATAATATTTATATATATATATATGATCCCCTTTTAGAAGTTTTTCTGCCTCACCTGGAAAGAGGGCGGCCAATCCAATCTTCCAAAACCACATGGATTATTCTGTTTTTAATGTTATTTTTCTGCTTTTTCCGTCCGATCCGGAACCAACGCCTCTTTCCTTTCGAAATATATATTTTTATTTCCTCTTTTCTGTCTTTTAAACTTCTTCCTCTTCCTTCTTGGGATGAGGAAATGACATTTAAAGAGGCAGAACATTGAATTTCCAGGCATTGAATAATAATAATAATAATAATAATAATAATAATAATAATAATAATAATGCAATATAAGATTGATAATAATAATAATAATAATAATAATAATAATAATAATAATGTCATATAATGATGTAAAGGAACTAACAGATGTGCCCCCAGTGAGGCATTGGATTAAACCCTTGTGCTGACCAACACGTTGGAGGTTTGAATCCGGGGAGAGCGCGGCTGAGCTCCCATCTGTCAGCTCCAGCTCCCCATGCAGAGCAATGAGAGAACCACTGATTTAAACCCATCGCAGTTAGCTCCTTTACATTATTATATGAATACTCTACTATTATTATTATTATTACAGGAGACTATATTATTATTGAATTACTATATTATTATTATTATTAGTTCCTTTCATTATTATTCTATGATTATATTATTATAGTAGACTACATTATTATTATATTACTTTATTATTATTATTATTATTATTATTATTAGTTCCTTTACATTATTACTCTACGATTACTATATAATAATCGTATAATAAAAATTACATTGTTATATTATTACTATATTATTATTATTCATTCCTTTACGTTATTACTCTACAATTACTATATTATTATTATTATTGTTAGTTCCTTGCACTATTATTCTATGATTACTATATTATTATATTACTTTATTATTATTATTATTATTATTTGTTCCTTTACATTATTACTCTGCGATTACTATATAATTATTATTATTATTATTATTATTTATAGTCAACTGTTAGCTTCTTTACATTATTATATTACTAGATTATTATTATTATTCGTTCCTTTACATTATTACTCTACAATTACTATATAATAATAATTATTATTATTATTTATAGTTGACTGTTAGCTTCTTTACATTGTTATAGTATTACTATATTATTATTATTCGTTCCTTTACATTATTACCCTATGATTGCTATATAAGTATTAGTATTATTATTATTATTATTATTATTTATAGTTGAATTTTAGCTCCTTTACATTATTATACTATAATTATATGGTTACTATATTATTATTATTATTATTATTATTATTATTACAGTAGACTACATTATTATATTACTATATTATCATTGTAGTAGACTGCATTATTATATTCCTATATTATTATTATTCATTATGATTACTATATTATTATTGTTATTTATAGTCGACTGTTAGCTCCTTGACGTTATATTATTACTACATTATTTTTATTTTTATTATTATTATTATTATTATTATTATAGTAGACAACATTCTTATTATATTACTGTATTGCTATTATTATTCATTCCTTGACATTATTACTCTACGATTACTATATAATTATTACTATTATTATTTATAGTCGACTGTTAGCTTCTTTACATTATTACATTACTAGATTATTATTATTATTATTCATTCTTTTACATTATTACTTTACGATTACTATATTATTATTATTATTATTATTATTATTTATAGTCGACTGTTAGCTTCTTTATATTATTATATTATTATTACAATATTATTATTATTATTCGTTCCTTTACATTATTACTCTACAATTACTATATAATAATAATAATATTTATTATTATTATTATTATTATTATAGTAGACTACATTATTATATTACCATATTGTTATTATTATTATTGTTATAGTACTGTTAATTCCTTTACATTATATTATTATTATTATTATTTCCTTTATATTATTACTATATTATTATTATTATTATTATTATAGTAGACTACATTATTATATTACCATATTCTTACTGTTGTTATTGTACTGTTAATTCATTTACATTATTATTATTATTATTATTATTATTATTATTATTATTATTATTATTATTATTATTATAGAATGGATGGAAAACAGGACAAAGGCCTTTCCGGCAATGCGCATGCGCCGCCACTGGAGGGCAGCCGAGAGCCGCCGAAGAAGGAGGCTAGAGCATGGCCGGGAGGCGCTCTAGGAAACGTCTTCTTGCATTGCCCGACCATATAGAGAGAGAGAGTGGGGTGGCATGAGGAAGCGCGAGGGCAGGTTGGGCGCTCTAGGAGACTCGCCTCAGAGGGCCTGCCCATAGATAAACTGAAATGTATGACTAGCTCCGCCCACCGCCGGCATCTCTTTTGGGAGATAGCGGAGGCTTCTGGGAGTTGTAGTCCCGCCGCCATCTTGGATGGCGGACAAGGCCAAAGAAATGGGAAAGGTAATTGTAAAAAAATATTTTAGAAATTATTTTAAATTATTTTTAAAAATTAATTATGAGCACAAATCATATAAATATTTTAAATAATGTTGGGAGATTATTATATATATATATATATATATATATATATATATAATAAAAATATAATATTTTATTATCATTTCTAATAATATAAATATAATAATTGTGAGCAGAAATATTCCATTATGTTTTTAATTTTTTAAAAAAAAATTCCAGTCATTTGCCAAAGTTGTTAGAGATATATTTTTTTAAAAAATAAATAATATAATATTTTTAACAATAATTTTAAATATTTTTCAAATATTTTAAATGCTTAAATATTTTTTAAAAATATTTTAAAATATTTAAACATTTTAAAATATTTTTTTTAAAATTTAAAAATATTTTGAAATATATCAACAATTTAAATAGGGAGTCTCACATATTGATTGAGGTTCTGGGTTTGGGCCTGCCACTTTTGGACTCTCGCTTGCTGAGGTGTTCCAGCGAGTGTCTCTGTAGATCTTAGCAAACTATTTCTTGATTTAAGTCGTTGACGTGCTGGCTGATACCCAAACAGGGGATGGGCTGGAGATGTCTCTGCCTTGGTCGTTTCCCTATTGGCTGCCACTTCCCGGCAGATGTCAGGTGGTGCAATACCGGCTAAGCAGTGTAGTTTCTCCAGTGGTGTAGGGCGCAGACACCTCGTGATAATGTGGCATGTCTCATTAAGAGCCACATCCACTGTTTTAGCGTGGTGAGATGTGTTCCACACTGGGCATGCAGACTCAGCAGCAGAGTAGCATAGCGCAAGGGCAGATGTCTTCACTGTGTCTGGTTGTGATCCCCAGGTTGTGCCAGTCAGCTTTCGTATGATATTGTTTCTAGCACCCACTTTTTGCTTGATGTTCAGGCAGTGCTTCTTGTAGGTCAGAGCACTGTCCAGAGTGACTCCTCCCAGGGATTTTTGGGTGCGCTGCAATGCTCCCGTGGGATTCCTTCCTTCCCAGGTAATCATCCTCAGAGCTCGGGATGCTTCTCTGTTCTTAAGGTGAAAGGCGCACGTCTGTGTTTTAGATGGATTAGGGATCAGCTGGTTTTCCCTGTAATAGGCAGTAAGAGCACCTGGAGCTTCGGAGAGCTTCTGTTCTACCATCTCAAAGCTCCCTACTTGAGCGGTGATGGCACGATCGTCAGCATAGATGAAACTCTCCATCCCTTCTGCCAGTGGCTGGTCATTGGTGTAGATGTTGAACATGGCTGGGGCAATCACGCTCCCCTGAGGCAGGCCGTTCTTCTGTTTCCGCCATCTGCTTCTCTGGCCCTGGAACTCAACAAAGAAGCTCCTGTTTTGTAGCAGGTTTCCTATGAGGCGGGCGAGGTGGTCGTCCTTGGTGATATTGTACATTTTCCTCAGGAGGAGGCAGCGGTGGTTCACGGTATCATAAGCTGCTGACAAGTCTATGAAGACAGCTCATGTGATCTGCTGCCTTTCAAAGCCATCTTCTATGTGCTGAGTCAGAATGAAAACAAGATAGCAAACAAATGAAACCCCCTCCCCAAAGAATATATATATATATATATATATATATATATATATATATATATAATGTCAATACAATCTCTCTCAAACAAGACTCAAAGTGGCCATGTATCCATTTGTTATTATTATTATTATGTTTGTTTATATTCCGCTTTCTCCCAAAGGAGACTCAAAGCAGAAGGCAACTGAACCATTTGCATACAATTAATTTTCTCGATGTGCAATGAGAGACTGAGCTTCTTGTATGCTTCTGCAAAGCAGCTTGTAGTTCTTTTTCTGAATGTGCACATACTACGTTATCATCGGCATATTAGAGTTGTGTGCTTCTGCAAAGCAGCTTGTAGTTCTTTTTCTGAATGTGCACATACTACGTTTTCATCGGCATATTAGAGTTGTGTGCTTCTGCAAAGCAGCTTGTAGTTCTTTTTCTGAATGTGCACATACTGTGTTATCATCGGCATATTAGAGTTGTATGCTTCTGCAAAGCGGCTTTTAGTTCTTTTTCTGAATGTGCACATACTACGTTATCATCGGCATTATGAGTTGTATGCTTCTGCAAAGTGGCTTGTAGTTCTTTTTCTGAATGTGCACATACTACGTTATCATCGGCATATTAGAGTTGTATGCTTCTGCAAAGCAGCTTGTAGTTCTTTTTCTGAATGTGCACATACTACGTTATCCTCGGCCTATATATATGTTCAATGACCAATAATAATAATAAACTTTATTTATGCCATGTCACCATGTCCTCAATGGGGACTCGGTGCAGCTTACATGAGGCCAAGCCCAAACACAAATCAGAGCAGCATAAAACCGAAAACACAATCCAAAAAACAATAAAATCATAATTACATAAAACATGTGAAAACATAACAGTATAAAATTAGAATAAACACAATCACAGTGAAAAGGGGAGGACTACATGTAAAATTGATTAAAACTAATTAAAACCAGAGTGAGATAAAGAAGAAGCCGAGCTTCTCGTATGCTTCTGCGAAGGTGTTTAGAATGGCTTGTAGGTCTTCTGAATGAGCACAGAGGACGTTGTCATCAGCATACTGGAATTCTATAATAGATGTTGTTGTGACCAGTCTGCTGAGGTTAAACAGCTTGCCATCTGTCCCATAGATGATTTCCACTGCATTGGAAATTTCGCATCGACAAGATGAAGTATCATAGCGATGAAGATGGAGAATAAGGTCGGGCCAAGAACATATGATCCCTCTTAGATGATCTCTTGCATCTTGGGAGGCTGAGGGTTCTTCACTGTCTCGTAGACCGTCTTGAGGCTCTGGTCCTCACTCTGCCAAAGAAAGTAAACACACAATTAAGATTGAAGATTTATTTATTTTATTATTTATTACATCTATCCCGTCCTTCTCTCCACAAGGAGACTCAGGGCAGTCTTAATAATGATAACAATAATAATAATAATAATAATAATAATAATAATAATAAACTTTATTTATACCACGCCACCATCTCCCCCAACGGGGACTCAGGGCGGCCATAATAATAATAATAATAATAATAATAATAATAATAAACTTTATTTATACCCCGCCACCATCTTCCCCAACGGGGACTCAGGGCAGCCTTAATAATAATAATAACAATTATAATAACACACTTTATTTATACTCTGCCATCATCTCCCCCAACGGGGACTCAGGGCGGCCATAATAATAATAATAATAATAATAATAATAATAATAATAATAATAATAATAATCTTTATTTATACTCTGCCACCATCTCCCCCAACGGGGACTCAGGGCAGCCTTAATAATAATAATAACAATTATAATAATAATCTTTATTTATACTCTGCCATCATCTCCCCCAACGGGGACTCAGGCTGGCCTTAATAATAATAATAATAATAATAATAATAAACTTTATTTATACCCCATCACCATCTCCCCCAATGAGGACTCAGGGTGGCCTTAATAATAATAATAATAATAATAATAATAATAATAATAATAATAATAATAATAATTACTATTATTATTATTATTTATACCTCACCACCATCTCCCCCAATGGGGACTCAGGGCGGCCTTAATAATAATAATAGTAATTGTAATAATAATAATAAACTTTATTTATACCCGCAACCATCTCCCCCAACAGGGACTTGGGGTGGCATTAATAATAATAATAATAATAATCTTTATTTATACCCCACCACTGTCTTCCCCAACAGGGACTCAGGGTGGCAATAATAATAATAATAATAATAATAATAATAATAATAATAATAACTTTATATATATCTCACCACCATCTCCCCCAACGGGGACTCAGGGCGGCCATAATAATAATAATAATAATAATAATAATAATAATAATAATAATAATCTTTATTTATACCCCGCCACCATCTCCCCCAATGGGGACTCAGGGCAGCCTTAATAATAATAATAACAATAATAATAATACATTTTATTTATACTCTGCCATCATCTCCCCCAATGGGGACTCAGGGCGGCCTTAATAATAATAATAATAATAATTATTATTATTATTATTATTATTATTTATACCCCACCACCATCTCCCCCAACGGGGACTCAGCGCGGCCTTAATAATAATAATAGTAATTGTAATAATAATAATAAACTTTATTTATACCCTGCTACCATCTCCCCCAATGAGGACTCGGGTGGCATTAATAATAGTAATAATAATAATAATAATAATAATAATAATAATAATCTTTATTTATACCCCACCACTGTCTTCCCCAACAGGGACTCAGGGCGGCAATAATAATAATAATAATAATAATAATAATAATAATAATAATATAGTGACAGAGTTGGATATCATCTGCATACAGATGTTGAGGGGTGGCCTCCCTCAGAGACTGAGTGAGTGTGGCCTGGTCCCTAGAAACAACATGGCCGCTGCTAGGCCTACAAAACAAAACAGCGGCCAGTAGACTGGAAATATAATGGATGCTCCTAGACTTACAATAAAATAAATGGTGGCTGACCGGCCTAAAAGAAAACGGAAGTTGCTAGGCCTAGAAAACAAAATAGGGGCCAACAGACCTAAAAGAAAAAGGTAGGCTGCTAGGCCTACAAAACAAAATGGCGGCTGATGGACCTGAAGTAAAATGGAGGAGGCTAGGCCTACATCACAAAATGGTGTCCAACAGGTCTAAAAAGGAATGGATGCTCCTAGGCTTAAAATAATTTTAAGAAATGGCAGCTGACAGGCCTAAAATAAAACTGAGGCTGCTAGGCCCAGAAAACAAAATGGTGGCTGACAGACTAACTAACCAAACTGAGGCTGTTAGTCCTACAACACAAAATGGTGACCAAAAGAGACGAAACCAAATGGAAGCTTCTAGGCCTACGAAACAGTAGTCGGTAGACTGAAAAGACAATGGAAGCTGCTAGGCCTAGAAAACAAAATGGTGGCCAAAAGACCAGAAAAAAAGGTAGGCTGCTAGGCCCAGAAAGCAAAAAGGAGGCTGACAGACCATCTAACCAAATGAAGGATGTTAAGCTTATAAATAAATTTGCATCTGGCAGGCCTGAAATAAAATGGAGGTTGTGACCAAAAGGGCTGAAACCAAATGGAGGCTGCTAGGCCCAGAAAACAAAATGGCGGCAAGCAGAAAATGAGATGGAGGCTGCTCAGCCCAGAAAACAATATGGCGTCGAGGAGAAAAAGAAATGGAGGCTGCTAGGCCCAGAAAACGAAATGGTGGCAAGCAGAAAACGAAATTGAGGCGCCCAGAAAACAAAATGGCGGCAAGCAGAAAACGAAATGGAAGGTGCTAGGCACAGAAAACAAAATGGCGGCAAGCAGAAAACGAAATTGAGGCGCCCAGAAAACAAAATGGCGGCAAACTGAAAACGAAATGGAGGCTGCTAGGCACAGAAAACAAAATGGCGGCGAGGAGAAAACAAAATGGAGGGTGATAGGCACAGAAAACAAAATGGTGGCGAGGAGAAAATGAAATGGAAGCGCCCAGAAAACAAAATGGTGGCGAGGAGAAAACGAAATGGAGGCGCCCAGAAAACAAAATGACAGTAAATAGAAAATGAAATTGAGGCGCCCAGAAAACAAAATGGCGGCAAATCGAAAACGAAATGGAGGCTGCTAGGCCTACAAACACTCAACAGGCCTGTCTCAACCCCTCAAATCAACCTGGCTTTGGGGCAATTCCTTTACAATTGAAATTTGACACTGCTCTCAAGCAGTTCCTTGAAATAGCGGCTGAGAGAGTGTGACTCTGATTGGGGTTTAGACCTGGCCTGGGCAAAGTTTGGCCCTCCGGGGATTTTGGACTCCAACTCCCACAATTCCTAACAGCCTGGGGGGCCCAAGTTTGCCCATGCCTGGTTTCCAAGGGCAATTCAGGTCTTTGGGGGCCGGTTCTAAGGGACGTGCCGTTCGTGCCACGGTTTCGCAAAAGGTTTACTTCATAGGAAGGGATGCGTCTCTGGAAAAAGTGTCTGCGGGCTTCCCCTCAGAGCCTTTGCTTGTGCATGGAAATAAGGTTCTTGGAGCCGCAAATGCAAATGGAGGAATGGAAAGCTGAAGTAAATCTTTTCCCCTCAGAATAGAACATCACCATTGTGCTTTCTCTTCACACCTTTGCGGTTTCTGCATCTTGTTTTACCACAGGCGTAGTTGTGAAAAAGGCCTCCCTTCCCCTCATCTGGTCAGGAAAACCCCGACTGTCAAAAGACTTGCCTCGGAGGATTTAGTTATCTCCGAATAAACGGTTTTCTCGGCTGCTTCTTCCCTTTGTCTCCCTTTCCGCATCTTCTCATCGTCCGTTTGCAAAAGATTCTGGGAAGGAGAAGCCATGACAGCGTGTTGACAACGAGATAGAAAACTGAGGGAAAGGTTGGTTTTAAAAATATGCAACATTTATCACACATTGAGTATTGAAAGTCAATTGATTTCCTGTTTTACTACAGAACAAAATGGTGGACAACAGAACCTGAAACAAAATGACGGCCAAAAGATTTCGGAAACAAAACGGCGCCCAAAAGATTTCGGAAACAGAATGGCGGCCAAAAGATTTCAGAAACAAAATGGCGGCCAGAAGAGTTTGAAAACAAAACGGCAGCCAAAAGATTTCGAAAACAAAACGGCAGCCAAAAGATTTCGAAAATAAAATGGCACCTAAAAGAGTTTGAAAACAAAATTGCTGCCAAAAGATTTCAGAAACAAAATGGCGCCCAAAAGAGTTCGGAAACAAAATGGCTCCCAAAAGAGTTCAGAAACAAAATAGTACCCAAAAGATTTCGGAAACAAAATGGCGAACAAAAGATTTCAGAAACAAAATGGCGCCCAAAAGATTTCAGAAACAAAATTGCACCCAAAAGAGTTCAGAAACAAAATGGTGATCAAAAGAGTTCGAAAACAAAATGGCTCCCAAAAGATTTCAGAAACAAAATCGTACCTAAAAGTCGCCCTGAAGGGCTGAGAATTGCGGTATATAAGCACAGTAAATAAATAAATAAATAAATAAATAAATAAATAAATAAAAGATTTCGGAAACAAAATGGCTCCCAAAAGAGTTCAGAAACAAAATGGCACCCAAAATATTTTGGAAACAAAATGGCAGCCAATAGAACTAAAAGAACACAGAAGCTAAAGGCTATGAAACAAAATGGCTGCGAAGAGATTCCAACACAAAACAGAGGCTGCAAGGATGGTGACAGCAAGGCCTAAGAAACAAAATAGAGCCTTCTAGGCCTCAGATACAAAATGGCGCCCAACAGACCTAAAACAAAATGGAGGTTGCTACTAATAGGGAAAAAGATGGCTGCTGATAGGCCTCAGAAGGAAAATGGTTGCCGCAAGGCCTAAGAGAGGAAATAGAGGCAGATTAAATGGCGGCTGGCAAATCTGAAACAAAGTGGTGGTTGGTAGTAATATTAAAGAAGATGGCAGCTGACAGGGTTGAAAAAGAAAATGGTTGTCGTGAGGCCTTAGATCTGCTAGGCCTAGAAAACAAAATGGTGGCTGTTGGCGTAGAAAACAAAATGGTGGCTGCTAGGCCTACAACAAAATGGAGGTTGGTAGTAATAGGAAAGAAGATGGTGGCTGATAGACCTCAGAAAGAAAATGGTTACCACAAGGCTTTAGAAACAAAATGGTGGCTGCTAAGCCTAGAAAATAAAATGGTGGCTGCTAGGCCTACAACAAAGTGGAGGTTGGTAGTAATAGGAAAGAAGATGGCGGCTGAAATGCCTCAGAAACGAAAGAGAGGCTGCTAGGTGTAAGGGAGAAAGAGGGGATGCTAGGCCTAGAAAACAAAATGGCGGCCGCAGACCGAAAACAAAATGGATTTTTCAGATTCCAGACCGTTTTGGGCGGATGTTCCACGGTTGTATAAATTGTCTGTGAGGCTTGTGGCTTCTTTTTTTGGGGGGCGGTCCTCGGCCGAGAGCTCTGCACGTCCTGGTCCTTGGGGGAAAAGAGAAAACTATAAGAGCCAACGCCATTCTGGGTGTGTTGTTGTTGTTGTTGTTTTTCTTCTTCTTCTTCTTCTTCTTATTATTATTATTATTGATGTCTGTTCCAAAATTCAGCTTGGAAGAGATTACCATATATCATATTATTATTAATAATAATTTTGGACAACTCTTCCAATGTTCAGACTGATATTATTGTTGTTATTATTATTATTATTTTGGATGACCGCTCCAGAATTCAGCTTGAAGAAAATTAATAATAATAATAATAATAATAATAATAATTTTGGACAACTGCTCCAAAGTTTTAAGTCGAAGAGATGTTATTATTATTATTATTATTATTATTATTATTATTATTATTATTGAGTTTCTGCGTCTACATTCAAGCTGAAGATATAATAATAATAATAATAATAATAATAATAATTTTGGACAACTGCTCCAAAGTTCAGGTTAAAGAGATATTATTATTATTATTATTATTACTATTATTATTATTATTTTGAGTGTCTGCGTCTACATTCAAGCTGAAGATATAATAATAATAATAATAATAATAATAATAATAATAATTTTGGACAACTGCTCCAAAGTTTTAAGTCGAAGAGATGTTATTATTATTATTATTATTATTATTATTATTATTATTATTTTGAGTTTCTGCGTCTACATTCAAGCTGAAGATATAATAATAATAATAATAATAATAATAATAATAATAATAATAATTTTGGGCAACTGCTCCAAAGTTCAGGTTAAAGAGATATTATTATTATTATTATTATTATTATTATTACTATTATTATTATTATTTTGAGTGTCTGCGTCTACATTCAAGCTGAAGATATAATAATAATAATAATAATAATAATAATAATAATAATAATAATAAACATTTTGGACGACTGCTCCAAATTTCAGGTTGAAAAGATTTAATTATTGTTATTATTATTATTGTTATTATTATTATTATTTTGAATGTCTGCACCAACATTCAAGCTGAAGATATAATAATAATAATAATAATAATAATAATAGTAGTAGTAGTAGTAGTTTTGGACAACTGCTCCAATGTTCAGGTTGAAGAGATGTTATTATTATTATTATTATTATTTTGAGTGTCTGTGCCAACATTCAAGCTGAAGATATAATAATAATAATAATCATCATCATCATCATCAATAACAACAACAACAACATTTTTGGATAACTGCTCTGAAGTTCAGGCTGATGAGATTAAATAATAATGATGATGATGGTGATGATGATGATTTTGGATAATGGCTCCAAAGTTGAGGCTGAAGAGACATAATAATAATAATAATAATAATAATAATAATAATAGATGAAATATAATATAATATGAAATATAATTATAGTTTATTGCTTGTGAATCGCAAGCAACAATGTGAAGAACGCGGAAACCCTTGAATGGAAATGTGTCACGTATTATTCATGGCCGCCTCCTCCTTTGCGGAAAGCTTCAAAGGCTTTTAACCTATGAAGTTAAAAGGCGTGAAGCAGAGGAAACCACGCGTGTTTCTGAGCGCAGAGCGGAACACGGAAATGGTGTGTCAGGGGAATTGCAACACGCAGGTGTTCCAACCAGGATGGTCATGATAACCTAGGCATTTTGGAGAACATCATAGGTCACCTGTGTGTTTCAGCCACTTTGGGCAGCAAATAATAATAATAATAATAATAATAATAATAATAATAATAGATTTGTATCCTTCCTCTCCTCTCCATTGACCACCTTTGATAATAATAATAATAATAATAATTTTTTATCATGTCAGAAGCGAATTGAGAATATGCTGCAAGTTGCTTCTGATGTGAGAGAATTGGCCGTCTGCAAGGACGTTGCCCAGGGGACGTTGCCCGGATGTGTTACCATCCTGTGGGAGGCTTCACGTCCCCACTTGGAAAGCTGAGGCTGAAAGATGGGAGCTCACCCTGTTCCCCAGATTCAAACTTCTGACCTTCCGGTCAGCAGTTCAGCCAGCACAAGGGTTTAACCCATTGTGCCACCACGGCTATATAATAATAATAATAATAATAATAATTATTATTATTATTATTATTTTCCATGACAGGAGCGACTTGAGATACTGCAAGTTGCTTCTGGTGTGAGAGAATTGGCGGTCTGCAAGGACGCTGCCCAGAGGATGCCTGGATGTTTGATGTTTTGGTGTGAGAGAATTGGCGGTCTGCAAGTCCGCTGCCCAGAGGACGCCTGGATGTTTGATGTTTTGGTGTGAGAGAGTTGGCCGTCTGCAAGGACATTGCCCAGGGGACGCCTGGATGTTTGATGTTTTGGTGTGAGAGAGTTGGCCGTCTGCAAGGACGTTGCCCAGGGGACGCCTGGATGTTTGATGTTTTGGTGTGAGAGAAATGGCAGTCTGCAAGGACGTTGCCCAGAGGACCCCTGGATGTTTGATGTTGTGGTGTGAGAGAATTGGCCGTCTGCAAGGACGTTGCCCAGGGGACGCCTGGATGTTTGATGTTTTGGTGTGAGAGAAATGGCAGTCTGCAAGGACGTTGCCCAGAGGACCCCTGGATGTTTGATGTTGTGGTGTGAGAGAATTGGCCGTCTGCAAGGACGTTGCCCAGGGGACGCCTGGATGTTTGATGTTTTGGTGTTAGAGAGTTGGCCGTCTGCAAGGACGTTGCCCAGGGGACGCCTGGATGTTTGATGTTTTGGTGTGAGAGAAATGGCAGTCTGCAAGGACGTTGCCCAGAGGACCCCTGGATGTTTGATGTTGTGGTGTGAGAGAATTGGCCGTCTGCAAGGACGTTGCCCAGGGGACGCCTGGATGTTTGATGTTTTGGTGTGAGAGAGTTGGCCGTCTGCAAGGACGTTGCCCAGGGGACGCCTGGATGTTTGATGTTTTGGTGTGAGAGAAATGGCAGTCTGCAAGGACGTTGCCCAGAGGACCCCTGGATGTTTGATGTTGTGGTGTGAGAGAATTGGCCGTCTGCAAGGACGTTGCCCAGGGGACGCCTGGATGTTTGATGTTTTGGTGTGAGAGAGTTGGCCGTCTGCAAGGACGTTGCCCAGGGGACGCCTGGATGTTTGATGTTTTGGTGTGAGAGAGTTGGCCGTCTGCAAGGACGTTGCCCAGGGGACGCCTGGATGTTTGATGTTTTGGTGTGAGAGAGTTGGCCGTCTGCAAGGACGTTGCCCAGGGGACGCCTGGATGTTTGATGTTTTGGTGTGAGAGAAATGGCAGTCTGCAAGGACGTTGCCCAGAGGACGCCTGGATGTTTGATGTTGTGGTGTGAGAGAATTGGCCGTCTGCAAGGACGTTGCCCAGGGGACGCCTGGATGTTTGATGTTTGGGTGTGAGAGAATTGGCAGTCTGCAAGGACGTTGCCCAGAGGACGCCTGGATGTGAGAGAATTGGCCGGCTGCAAGGACATTGCCCAGAGGACACCTGGATGTTTGATGTTTGGGTGTGAGAGAATTGGCAGTCTGCAAGGACGTTGCCCAGAGGACGCCTGGATGTGAGAGAATTGGCCGGCTGCAAGGACATTGCCCAGAGGACACCTGGATGTTTGATGTTTGGGTGTGAGAGAATTGGCAGTCTGCAAGGACGTTGCCCAGAGGACGCCTGGATGTGAGAGAATTGGCTGTCTCCAAGGACATTGCCCAGAGGACACCTGGATGTTTGATGTTTGGGTGTGAGAGAATTGGCAGTCTGCAAGGACGTTGCCCAGAGGACGCCTGGATGTGAGAGAATTGGCCGGCTGCAAGGACATTGCCCAGAGGACACCTGGATGTTTGATGTTTGGGTGTGAGAGAATTGGCAGTCTGCAAGGACGTTGCCCAGAGGACGCCTGGATGTGAGAGAATTGGCTGTCTCCAAGGACATTGCCCAGAGGACACCTGGATGTTTGATGTTTGGGTGTGAGAGAATTGGCAGTCTGCAAGGACGTTGCCCAGAGGACGCCTGGATGTGAGAGAATTGGCCGTCTCCAAGGACGTTGCCCAGGGGATGCTTGGATGTTTGATGTTTGGGTGTGAGAGAATTGGCAGTCTGCAAGGACGTTGCCCAGAGGACGCCTGGATGTGAGAGAATTGGCCGGCTGCAAGGACATTGCCCAGAGGACACCTGGATGTTTGATGTTTGGGTGTGAGAGAATTGGCAGTCTGCAAGGACGTTGCCCAGAGGACGCCTGGATGTGAGAGAATTGGCCGGCTGCAAGGACATTTCCCAGAGGACACCTGGATGTTTGATGTTTGGGCGTGAGAGAATTGGCAGTCGGCAGGGACGTTGCCCAGAGGACGCCTGGATGTTTGATGTTTGGGTGTGAGAGAATTGGCAGTCTGCAAGGACGTTGCCCAGAGGATGCCTGGATGTGAGAGAATTGGCCGGCTGCAAGGACATTGCCCAGAGGACACCTGGATGTTTGATGTTTGGGTGTGAGAGAATTGGCAGTCTGCAAGGACGTTGCCCAGAGGACGCCTGGATGTGAGAGAATTGGCTGTCTCCAAGGACATTGCCCAGAGGACGCCTGGATGTGAGAGAATTGGCCGTCTCCAAGGATGTTGCCCAGAGGACACCTGGATGTTTGATGTTTTGGTGTGAGAGAACTGGCCGTCTCCAAGGACGTTGCCCAGGGGACGCTTGATTCAAAGTGGCTATGTATCTATTATTAGTATTAAAATGAATTATTATTGATAATAATAATAATTATTATTATTATTATTTCTCTATTTGTTGCGATGTGTTTGATGCATCCATTCACCTGGAAACTCACCTGGAAAATCTCTCCAACTTGGGCATAAATGCTCTTGCATTCTTCGGGTTCTGCAAAGAGAAATTGCAGAGGGACTCAGTCCCATTCGGGTATTTATTATTATTATTATTATTATTATTATTATTATTATTATTATTATTATTAATTGACCACAGTGTCCACTGCAAGCCAAAATCTGCCACAGTCTTCCTTTGGGATGCAGAATTAATTGACGTTTGTTCCCGAAGGAATATTGTGAGGATATTAGCCGAGATCAATGATACTGATTAGTTCAGATCACAAGAATTAATGCAATCAATAGGTTTGATTTGCAAATCAGTATCAAAAAGGAGGAGGAGGATTAGGAAGCGTGAAAGAAGCCAACAGGAAGCAGAGACATTTCTTCCAAAAATATATATCTTTTATTTATGAGGCATGTGGAATATGCAAATATTCCAAGAAAACAAATTTGAATATGCAAGTATACGCAAAACAAATTAAAATGCAAATATCCCAAAATAATTTCTGAATATGCAAACATCCCAAAATAAATTTGAATATGCAAATATACCCAATGTGCAAATACCTTGAAGGATTTTTTGAATGTGCAAATATCCCAATGTACATTTGAATATGCAAATATACCCAAAACAAATTGGAATGTGTAAATATTCTGAAATAATCCTTTAATGTGCAAATATCCCAACATATATTTGAATATGCAAATATGCCCAAAGGAAATTTGATTATGCAATTATGCCTGAAAGAAATGGAAATGTCTAAATTTCCTGAAATAACTTTTGTACATTCAAATTTCTCAACATGCATTTGAATATGCAGATATACCCAAAACAAATTGGAAAATGCAAATACCCAGAAATAATTTTTGAATAAGCAAATGTACCCAAAACAAATTGGAATATGCAAATATCCAGAAATATTTTTGAATATAAATTGAAATATGCAAATATCCAGAAATAATTTTTGAATATGCAAATGTACCCAAAACAAATTGGAATATGCAAATATACCCAAAACAAATTGGAATTTGCAAATATACCCAAAACAAATTGGAATTTGCAAATATACCCAAAACAAATTTGAATATGCAAATATCCAGAAATATTTTTGAATATGCAAATATCCAGAAATATTTTTGAATATGCAAATGTACCCAAAACAATTTGGAATATGCAAATATACCCAAAACAAATTGGAATTCGCAAATATACCCAAAACAAATTGGACTATGTAAATATCCAGAAATAATTTTTGAATATGCAAATGTACCCAAAACAAATTGGAATATGCAAATGTACCCCAAATATATATATATTAAAATCTGGAAAAAAAATCCCCCAAAAATAGTTGTGGATAATGTTCCGAAATAGTTCACAAAACTCTTCTGGTCGGGAGGGGTTTTGCAGAAGGGAGCTCTCCACCTGTTTATGCAAAATATAATTTAATGTCAACGCAAACGTATTCCGGGGGGAAAGTGTTTGTGTTTACAAGGAACGCTGTTTACCTGCAGGACTTGCTCCAAGGCCGGAGGCACCTGCAAAAGGAACAGAAAGAAGAAGAAGAAGAGGAGGAGGAGGAGGAGGAGGAAGAGGAAACCAAAGTCAAACCCAGGAAAAAACACAAAACAGGTGTGTAATTTTAATCTGTGATTTTGCTGAAGTGGAAACTGAATGCGGTTTTGTTTTGCCCCGAATGCGGTTTTCTTTTCTTTGCAAATGCAAACATTTCAGAAACATTCCACCCTCCCATGCATGTTATTAAAAAATCCCTTAATAATAATAATAATAATAATATTAATAATAATATATAAAGAAAACGGAAGCAAACTATTTGTATTTATTATGTTTTTATTCTTATTATACCATTGATTTAATTTCTAATAATATTTCACCCTCTTTCTAGATGTATTATAGTTTCACTACCATTCTATTTTAGTATATTTTATATATATTTATATACTATATTTTAAATAGATTTCATTTATTATATTTTATTTGTATTATCATTATATATTTATAATTTTTATTTATTATATCTTAATAATTCTATTTTTGTCTTATCATATTTTATTTGATATATTTTCATTATATTTCATAATATTTCTGTTTTTAGTTTTTCCTTTATTATATCTGAACTAATTCCATTCTATTTCTATTTTTATTATATTTCTATCATATTTTATTTGATATATTTTCATTATATTTCATAATATTTCTGTTTTTAGCATTTTCTTTATTATAATTTAACTAATTTCATTCGATTTCTATTTTTATTATATTTCTGTTTTAACTTATTTTGATATATTTTCATTATATTTCATAATATTTCTGTTTTTAGTATTTCCTTTATTATATTTTAACTAATTTTATTCTATTTCTATTTTTATTATATTTCTATCATATTTTATTTGATATATTTTCATTATATTTCATAATATTTCTGTTTTTAGTATTTTCTTTATTATATTTTAACTAATTTCATTCGATTTCTATTTTTATTATATTTCTAGCTATTATATTTTAGTTGTATTTTATTATATTTTATTGACTATATTCTAAATATATTTTATTATATTTTTATTTTTCTTGTATTTTATTTACCGTGTTTAAATAAATTATCATATTTTTATTTATTACGTTTTAATTATTTATTATATTTTAACTGTATTTCAATCTAGATCTACATTTATATACTTTATTTTTAATACATTTTATTTATTATATTTTATTTGTATATCATTATATATTTCTGATTTATAATATTTTTATTTATTTTAATAATTCTATTTCTGCTTTATCATATTTTATTTGATATATTTTCATTGTATTTCATAATATGTCTGTTTTTAGTATTTCCTTTATTATATTTTAACTCATTTCATTCTATTTCTATTTCTATTTCTAGCTATTATATTTTATTGTATTTTATTGATTATATTTATTATAAATATATTTTATTTTTATTTTTCTTATATTTTATTTACCATGTTTAAATAATTTATAATATTTTTATTTATTATGTTTTAATTATTTATTATATTTTTACTATATTTCAATCTAGATCTACATTTATTATATTTTATTTGTTATATATTTTATAGATAATAATAATAATAATAATAATAATAATAATTATTATTATTATTATTATTTTCCAGGATATATTATTATATGTATTATTTTAAAAATTAATATCATGCTGAGGCCCCCTCCCCAAGATATTTCATAGTATAAATGGAAGTTTTCCCAAAATTGAAACCCAAAATGCAATCCATTTCTGGCCGTGAAAGATGCTCAACCTATTTTAACAAAATGACTTTTGGGTGGTGTTTTGTATTATTTGACGGTAGTTTAAATGGACATTTTATTTAAAATCCCTGATTAATCCTTTACCTTTTTTTCTCCGCCAACGACAATACAAAACCACTACACAAACTGCAATCACTATTAAAACGAAGGAAATCAACACTCCTAAAATGACGTTGCGACGGCCTTCCTTTCCTGAAAAAAAAGAGCAAAAAGATGTCTTGTAAAATAAAATTGCATAAGATATTGTTGAAAATGCATGATAGGGATTTGCAGCTCATTTCTGTAATCCTGGGAAGTTTTATTTTGTTTTATTTTACTTAAAATATTTTATTTTAAATATTTTATTTTATTTTTAATGTTTTATTTTATTTTTAAAAATATATTATTAAATATTTTATTTTATATTATTTAATATTTTTCATTTGAAATATTTTATTTCAAATATTTTATGTTAAATGTTTTATTTTATTTTTAATGTTTTATTTTATATTAAATATTTTATTGTTTTTGATATTTTATCTTATTTTAATATTTTATTTTAAATATTTTATTTTATATTTTATAGCATTTTTATTTTACATATTTTGTTTTTAATGTTTGATTTTATTTTAAATATTTTATTTTGTTTTTAATATCTTATCTTATTTTAATATTTTATTTTATATGTTTTATATTATATTATTTTATTTTTGATACTTTATAGCATTTTTATTTTTAACATTTCATTTTATTTTAAACATTTTTCTTATTTGAAATATTTTATTTTTAATGTTTTATTATATTTTATATTGTTTTATTCAAAATATTTTTTTGAAACATTTTATTTTTAATATTTTATTTTTAAGGTTTTATGTTATTTAAAATATTTTATTTTATTTTTAATGTTTTATTTTATATTACATATTTTATTTTGTTTTTTATCTTATTTCAATAATTATTATTTTAATTTTTATTTAAATATTTTTTCTTATTTCAAATATTTAATTTTTAATGTTTTATTATATTTGAAATGTTTCATTTTATTTAAAATATTTTTCTTGTTTCAAATGTTTTATTTTTAATGTTTTACTTTTAACATTTGATTTGATTTTAAATATTTTATATTGTTTTAAATATTTTTTTTCTTATTTTAATATTTATTTTATTTCATTTTTAATATTTCTTTGGCAACCTTTCCCCCCCCCCCAAAGCTTTTGTTACAGAAGGATTTACAGAACCGTAAAAAGGAACAACCCACATGGATCTTTCGCT